TCCACCACCGCGTCTACCGCCTCATAGCCCCCTCTATCACTTCCACCCTCTACCCCTACCCTCTTACCACTTCTTCCACCCCTACCCCCTCTACCACCACCACTGCCTCTACCGCCCCACAATCCCCCTCTATCATCATCACCACCTCTACCACCTCACAACCCTCTTTATCACTTCTATTCTCTATCTCTATTCACTGTTACCACTCTTTCCATCTCTTTCACTCTCTATCCTCTCTACCATTATCATCATCTCTACTTCTTCTACTACTCTCTTTCACTCTGTATCATCTCTATCATCATTATCAGATTAATCAGAGCTGTACAGACTGTAGAGTCAGCTATTCAATCTCATTCATGAATTCAAAGAGATGTATATGACATCACATGAGATTTTATTACAGAGTATTTAGCAGTACATACTATAAGCACAGAGATCAAAATGTGATAGAGATAGTAAGAGAGAAGTAGAGATAGTGAAAGTGATAGAAGAGACTGTAGAGTAGTAGAGATAATGATGATGATAGAGAGACTAGAGAGTGGAAAAGGTGATAGAGAGGGGTGATAGAGGTGGTAGAAATGGGAGAGGTGATAGAGATGGTAAGAGAGGGGTAGAATGGTAAGATGAGAGTAGAGATAGAGAGTGGAAGTGATAGAGAGTGCTGCGAGGCAGTAGAGGCAGTGGTGGTGGTAGAGGTGGTAGGGGTGGTAGGGGTGGTAGGGGTGGTAAGAGTGAGTGGTAAGATGAAGGTAGGGGTATGAAGTGGAAGTAATAGGGGGTGCTACGGGGCGTTAGAGGCGGTGGTAGGGGGTAGATAGAGTGGTGCAATTGGCGGCGCCACTACATATTCATGGATGGATTTGATGGGGTGCATGTGATATCATGTGAGGTCACGTTACAGGGCATTTTACTCGGAAAAGTTGGTTTTTCTATAATATATAGAGAGATAAGAGTGAGTGAAAAACCTGCCACATTATGATTCTTGCATATTTAAATCCCACCGGGTCAGTACCTTAGTTCAGAAATGTACCTGCAAAGCAATTTCCCAATGGTGCGTTGGCACAAGTGCATTGCTGTCATGATAGATTCAATTAATGACTTTTTATACATGTCTGACAAGGACCTTTTACCCATTATTGTTTGCCTTTCTCCTGGACATGTTCTTATAGATCGGGCAATCTACTGCGTCTATCGGCTGAAAGGACGAATGTGGGACTTGTCACAATAGCTACCCTAGTGGCAGGCTTCATTCCAATTTGTTGCGCAGCTTTAATCCTGCAGTCTCAGTCCGGCGGATATAGCCGATTATGCCTAATATTTCTTTACCTTCCTCTTCTCAGCAGCTCATCCCGATCGCGACCGTTGGCAGTCTCTCAAAGAGAGGTTCGAGCAAACTGAGCTTCTTCCATCCTTGTCTAGCAGGAACGCCAGCCTTTTGCCCACTGGATAGAGTATTGGCGATGCTAAGTGTCCATTCTCCTTGGCAGAATCGTTCTCCCAGAGTCTTTTGAGCTCATCAAGCTCGTCGGGGAGAGAGGCAGCGAACTTGATTTGAATAGGGACTAATGAGTCGCGCAGCACTCTAGGATGTTCAGTGCTAGCCATCTCAATAATCTCCCTAACAATTTCTCTCTTGACTCGCTTTTCATCGACAATGGACAATAGAGCCCGAAACAGTTGGGAGAATGCAATGACACTTCCCCAAGGACTTTTCCGTCGATATATAGATATCATGATGTCGTTCGTTCGCTTTGAAAACATTATACATGAGTGTACATGTTCGGATTGCTGAAAACAAGGTTGAGTAGTCCATCTGTTCAAGGACTTCCCAGAGAATCTCAACTGGCAGAGCAACTAGCCTAGTTGTTGGCGATGACATGGCGAAGGGAGTTTGTGAAGGGACGGCTGAAAGGATATCGTGTCGGCATATGCGGAGGAGTTATCAAGAAAGCTAAAGAGCGTAGACTGATGAGTGGGGGGTTGGTAGAATAGGGACGAAGGCTGTACTTATACTGGAAAGCAAGGGATGAGGGGCTGCACACTAAGCCTGAATAAGGAACCAGATGCCTATGTGATCATTGTGGAGGAAACCTCCCCCCTCCCTCCCCCCCACCTTCAACTCGTGCGCGCCGTTCGATGTGACGTAGAGCGGCCACAGCGAATGATGGAATCTCTACAGCAGAGGGTGAGACAGCCCGCTTCAAAGCCGCATGGATAAAAGCTGTTTGTTGGCTCGGAGTGCTTCCAGACACTTGGAATCGGAGGAGTCATATGACAGCACATCATGGCTCTCCACAGCAAGAGAGCAAAGCTGGCAAATTGCCGCACAGTCAGCCCAGGGCAGCTACCACAACCAAACGATCGTATTTCCCACACTGCGAGTGAGACGACCGTTGCTTCAGGCATGCACGATACAGTCACCGTCTTGCGAGCGATCAATTTCCAAGAATGCACCCGAGAAATATGTCCAACCAGAGAGCACGAGGGCATGGAGTCGCTCGATTCACTCAGTCGTAGATGCGGCACAGCTGCGGCACAGCAAGGCCATGATGGTAGAGGGGAAATGAGATGTAGACGGAAGAGATCAGGAACGCAAACCAAGGGGCGAGGGATTGGATCTTTATGTCAACCAAGCGGCGCGAGGCGCTTTACCCGAATAGGCACGCTATACCACAATAGGAAATTAGGTGTACCTACGGAGTTATGCGAGGATGGAGATTAGATAATGGGCCTGGCAGAATATCGCGTCATTACTGAACTCGTGTATAGAAAATAATCACGCCACGCTTCATCTCATTTGGGATTTTATTTTCCTTTAAACTAAGCTTCTCTTGTAACACTTGAAGCTCAGAAAGCAATCCAGCTGACTGGCTCAGTGTTGGTTCAGGAGTACCGTGTCATGATCCAACGTGGACTGGAGTATTTTTACATATCACTAATGGATTTATTTCATTCCCTCACGAGCCCTATTGATATTGCCTACTACACCTGCCCTTGCCTACAGCTATGTTATGATATTTTCTTTGTTATAAATATATTTCTTTCTAAGCCCTAGAAAAGGATTTCAGTTATTAGCAAGTTCCACACCCTAATAACAATAGGTTTTGAAATCGCATCTCGATAAAGTTGGTCAAGGCCATCAACAGCGTTATCGTAGGAAATTAGACGCGACTCATGGATTTTTTCAGCTTCCTAAAGCCGTACGCCGTTTTGAACGTGGGTAAGTAAAATCAATGTGGAGAAAGTGGCCCGTCGTGATTTCATCGTTCTCTAGGACGCGACAACCACGGTGTTCGCACGAAGCAGGTAAATATGTACTTCAGGAATACATTGATTAGGAAGCAATGTTTGTGTAATAGCCGCGCTTAGTGGTTGGTCCAAAACCTGCAATTCTGGGCCCTCGGCGTTGGACTCGCTTGTTTCTCGGCTCCTTCCTCTTCTCCTTCTTCCTCTTCTCCTCCTTCAATTTTTGCAAACCCTATCTTTGAGCTTCGGGAGTTTGTGAGAGGTATTCCACCATCTTCTTAACCAGTAGTCGGTCTTCGCCTAGTGCGTCCCCGGAGACGGCCCCCTGAAATCATATGAGTATGTGCTGAAATCCATTTCTACACATGAGTCCAGTTATTTTATTTCACATGAAGCAACCCCTGCGATCAGGTCCACCTTCCTTGTCATCCTTAGGTTTTAGGTCACTGATAGTGCTGACGAGTTTTATCGAATTTCCGCTTGACAAAGTCGTGTTTCTGTAGTTCCAGAGATCCAACGGGATTAGTTAAAAAGTGGGCATAACTGTGCAGGGAGCAGAGGACACAGACCATAAAATCAGCCATCTCAGCCATAAGCTCCTTTTCAAACACAATCCATTCCTTCTGCCTCTCTGAAAGCTCTCCATTAAAGGTCCGTGCCCTGTCGAAATCTATTCAAATTGTCCTTTCTGGATCCTCTTCCACAATCATCATATTCCTGGGATGAACATCATTGTGATAGACTAGTGTATCATGAATTCTGTTCAACTCATCAACAAAATTTTGCATCCTCCTTTCATTGTAATTGATCCAATTCAGCTCTTTCATTTTGAGAATGTACTCTAAGAGGATAGCTGTGAGTTGATATTCATCTTTGACAAATGTGTTAAGATGTGGTAGGCACTGTGTTGAACTGAGGAGTTATACCCCGGGCGCATACTCCAGTGCGTGTTCTAAGTGTCGATATGCTGTTGATTCGCAGATAAAGATATGATCTGTGAGTCCCATGCCTGTTTAGGGCCTTGACCATGGTGCTATGGAAAGCATCAGAGAATACATCTGCAGGAGAGTCAAAAGCCAGAGAGGAGTGTAACCCACCACTCTCATGACACAGGCCTTGCCTCTGATAACCACCAAGAATATCATGCAATAGTCCCGTTTCGCTAGCTGCCCCTAGAAGATGATCTCGGACCCTCGGTCACGTTGTAAACTCCATTGTGAAGTTTGAATATCGATCAAGAAGCAAACCTGAATGGATTAATGTAGAGTGACAGCATTGCCATGCACTGAGGAGGAAAACAATGCCGTAGAAAAAGGATTGCTCAAGTGATTCTGTTAAAGTAGAAGACTGAGTAGTAGACCTAATATCATGGTATCTATCTAACCCTCGTGTGTCTATCTATCGAAGACGTAGAGCCGGAAGATGCAGCATGAGTGAATCCTTAACTTCCTTTGAGTACTAGAGGTAGTTCAGTGTTGTCTCCTTGTGGTTTCTTCTCTCTAGCGATGCATTGGGCGGTTGGGTCGCCTATGAAAACAAACAAGACAAACATAAAATGTGTAACTACATACTATACTCTGCTAAGTGAGGAATGGAAAATCTTTTCACCAACGATCGAAAGTGAAAGATACGATCAGAGTATTTGTGTCCAAGGTGATTTTTTTGGCATCATCATTCTTTCATTTTGTCTTTTCTTTGCTTCAACCAATGATTCCTGAAGCAAAAAAGATTATTGAACGCACATTGAAAGTAGAAATCTCCTCACCAGCCACTTATCCCGGACACTATTGAAGGCGATAGTAAAGCCTCACCAACATATTCATATAAGAAAATGAGTAAGAAGCGCAAAAGAAACGAAGATGCTGAGCAAGGAGGACAGCAACATCCTGGGCCGAAACGGGTAGTCTTATGTGATAAAGATTCACCGGGCACAACTACTTCTTCTGCCGGCAAGGGCCAGAGAACACAGGATATCGTTGCAAGCAAAAATAGCAATAAGTCTATCGCTCCCGCGAATTATGGACAAAACGTCAACCGAAGTACCCGAGACAAAGAACGAAGTGGCCCTGCTGCGCCTACGTCTCTAAGAGAACGCGCCAAAGCGTTGTACCACACTCGCAAACAATTACCGATATTTCCCCACGCGGATGAAATCCGCAAGCATCTCCAGCGCAATGATGTAACGTTGCTCGTCGGTGAGACGGGCAGCGGGAAAAGTACGCAGGTGCCACAATTTTTGGTTGATGAAAAATGGGCATGGCCAAGGACGGTCAAAGTCCATTCGACGGCACTGAAAAAGAAGGCAAATTCTCAGACCAAATCGGCAGATGGTGACAATGGTCCAGCTCAAAAGGAGACTGTTGTGAAGGAGATCACGGTTGGTGGATGCATTGCCATCACGCAGCCTAGGCGTGTCGCTGCTGTGTCCCTGGCAAGACGCGTGGCAGACGAAATGGGGACTCCATTGGGAAATTCGTCCCCTGCGAGTAAAGTGGGATATTCGGTGCGGTTTGATTCTTCGACGTCGCCTAATACCAGGGTCAAGTTCCTGACAGAGGGAATGTTGCTCCAGGAGATGTTGACCGATCCTTGGCTGACCAAATATAGCGCCGTTGTGGTCGATGAAGTCCATGAACGCGGCGTTAATGTGGATCTTATTTTGGGGTTTTTGAGGAATATGGTTTCTGGGAAGAAGGAAGGGAGAGGTGGGCTGCCGTTGAAAGTGGTCGTTATGAGTGCCACGGCTGACATGGAGAGTTTGCTTGGATTCTTCGGGGAGGGACTAAATAGTGGAATATCGGACAAAGATGGTTCTTCTGGGATGGATAAGGGGAAGCCCAACAACGACCAAGCTTCAGACGAAGTCTCGTCACCGTCGTCACAAAAAGTTTCCGTTTGCCATATAAAAGGCCGTCAATACCCTGTCAAGGTTATATACTCTCCTGAGCCTGTGCATGATTTCGTGGATGCAGCGCTTCAGACAATTTTCCGGATCCACATGAAAGAACCCCTACCAGGCGATATTCTGGTATTCCTGACTGGCCAAGAAACTGTGGAATCCCTTGAGGCCCTCGTCAACGAATACGCTGTCGGTATGGACCCTGCTTTGCCAAAGGTACAAGTACTTCCCTTATTCGCCGCTCTCCCCCAAGCAGCACAGCAACGAGTCTTTACACCAGCCCCGCCCAGAACTCGCAAAATAATCCTATCCACCAACATCGCAGAGACATCCGTCACTGTCTCTGGCGTTCGCTACGTTGTCGACTGCGGAAAAGCCAAAATGAAACAATTCCGCGCGCGCCTCGGTTTGGATTCCCTGCTTGTTAAACCGATATCGAAGTCTGCAGCCATTCAACGGAAAGGTCGTGCGGGAAGAGAAGCACCCGGTCAATGCTACAGGCTTTACACAGAAAAGGATTACTTGGCATTACAGGAAGCGAATACGCCTGAGATTTTGCGCTGCGATTTGAGCCAGGCGATTTTGAACATGAAAGCGAGGGGTGTGGATGACATTGTTAGCTTCCCATTCTTAACCCGTCCATCTAGAGAGGCCCTTGAGAAAGCGCTCCTGCAGCTTTTCAGCATTCAAGCACTGGATGAAATGGGAAAGATCAGCGAAATTGGTGAGAAAATCGCCAAACTTCCTCTTAACGCACAGCTAGGTCGCGTGCTTCTAGCGAGTGCGGAATACGGACCGAACTGCCTGCGCAATGTCATCGATATCATTTCATGCCTCAGCGTTGAGAACATTTTCCTTAATACGACGTCTGAAGAGAAGAAGGAAGAGGCGGAAAAGGCGAGACGAGATCTGTATCGGAGAGAAGGTGATCATTTGACAATGCTTGCCACAGTTAGAGCTTATGCGAGTGAAAATTCGGATCGAAAGGCATGGGCAAGTAGACATCTTGTTTCACATCGTGCAATGCAGGCGGTCATGGTATGTAAAAGAATCTATCTTTGCCAAGTTCTATCATCTCTCCACCAAATAACAGAAGAGCAGGGACTAACAGAATGCTGTGTGTTTACGTAGGATGTCCGAAAACAACTGGTAACGCAATGTCGACAAGCAAAACTTCTCCCAAATGACAAGGATACCAACGGTGCCAATGGCAATCATGCGATATCCTCGGAAGAAAACCCTGTCTCTATCCTAAAATCTTTCCTCACAGGGTTCGCTTCCAACACCGCCCGCCTCTTCCCTGACGGGAGCTACAAAACAATTGTAGGCAATCAGACGGTTGCCATTCACCCGTCTAGCGTTTTATTTGGCCGCAAGGTCGAGGCTATTATGTATAACGAGTATGTGTTCACCAATAGAAGCTATGCACGGGGAGTAAGTGCTGTACAGATGGATTGGGTGGGCGAGGCTTTGGGAGAAGGCTAGATGATTTGGATTTCCCAACCTGGGCTTTCTCTTTCGAGCAAGTTCTGTTGGATGCTTCATAAATAGACCTACTAAATAGAGATTGCTTATTTCTCACATCTCAAGTGGCTATTTGATAAATGTACAGAGTAGATTCGCTAGAGTCAACCATGCTTATGGCCCATATTTCCCGAATCATTAACGAAAGCGATTGAACATGTTCAGGGGCTGGTTGCTCCATTGTTACCCAACACGGCATTGAAAGTTTTAACGGCGTACTTTTCCGACTCCAAAACTTAGAATCATTATAGAAATATGTAATTGCCTTAAATGTAAAGTTCCATCATGCTAACAATTTGTGAGTGAAGGATATGTTTCGTAGATTTTCGCAACCCTTCCCTGTTCTGCCCCTCAATGCACGGCCCGAGTCTGGCGGCCAGCACTCGGCATCAGTTAACTTAAAGCACCGAGAGCTAAGTCGGAATAGGGAATACAACAGACGATCCATGCATTCCCCTAGCCTCAGCCAGCAATTGGTTTCTTCAGCTCTTATTCATATGGCATCATCACCTTGACCAAAACTCCCATTTTTAACGATTATTTTAGAATTATCAACGATTTTTGTTTTTAGGCGTCCCACAATGAAGAAATTATTCTTCTGCAGCTTCTACCTGACAAGCCTTGACTTTGAACCAAAGAGCTGTTGAAGAGAAGGGACCAGGGCGTGCATTAAAAATGAATTGCCCTCAAGGCATAATTTCGTGGCATTTATATTGAATGATAGCCCTAGGCTGAGCTAATGGCGTCATTATATACATGTATGTATCACATATTATGTGTAGAAAAGAGACAGTGAACGAAATGCAAACACAAACTTGGCCCATCCACTAGCTAGCTAACACAGGTATAATTCAATTAACACGAAGCCAATCACTAACGAACTAATCACACGGCTTTACAAGTTATTGATGTATGTCAAACTGTTCCGAACGAATTCCCTTCAAAACTTCGTCCCAAGGACGCCACCCTTGTTACGTTGAAACTACTCTGCATCTAGCGGAGCCACGGGAGGTTGGTCATTCACCTGAATGCCTCCTCGCTTCTTCTCATTAGTATCCCAGAACGGGAGAGTCCAGCCCCCCTCGCTTTCTGGCGTGGCCAGCCAGAGGCGCATAAGGTGTCTACGAGGGGCGGGAGGTGGGTAATCCTTGTATTCCGTGCGGGCATGGAAGACGTGTGTGTTAGCAAGGAATTGGATGTCTCCGACATCAAGAACCATGTGGAGCGCGAGCCTGAGGCAGGTCTCCTCAAGCACCTTCATAGCCTCAAGCTGTGCAGGCGACAGTGGAGGGATGATACCCTTATCAGAAAAGCGGGTGAGAGAGCGGACAAAGTATGGATCCCATCTATTTGGAGAAATGGTATTAGCTGAGGATTATTTGGAGGATTTTCATGGCGATTTTCACATGAGATGAGATGTAATGGTTTGGCTTTAGTAAACAGATGCCAAGTAACTGGTCACTGGTTCTTTCAACTCACTTCGCAAACACCCGTCCGTTCTCCTTCGGTTCGACGTAGAAAATAGAGGTTCTTATATATTCCTCCTGCCCGACGCTGGTTTCGCCCTTGCGATCGACGTACCAGATTGGTTGGGTGAGTGTTTCGAGGACATCTGGTCGTTCTTTGGCGAGTACATTGTATACGTGATGTGTGGAAATGAGATCTGATTCTCCACCCTCGAGCGCCTTTGCAACGCAA